AGGAATGCTAATGGCCTCCCTGGCCAGAGACAATGAAATGGTCAGCTCACATTTCCAGCTGGAAGCTGGCATGTTGAAGGGGACAGAGACTTGAGAGGTTTTAAGAGGCTAGAATGTATCTTCCTGGAGATTTCAGGAAAGGTGCTTCTTTTTTTGCCCCCAGGGGATGTAGGCAAACAGATAATAAAACCACTTGGCACAGAGGGGGAGGGCTCATTTATGGCTGGTTCCAGCTCGTGAGAAAGAGTTCTCATACCTGGGCTCCTGCAGAAGGCCACCTGAACAATGATACCAATGTAATAGGGTAATAGAAGGCTTTCAGAACACTGTAAGTTAAAGAGCCTGCCTTAGAGTAAGCTCAGCTAGTGCATGTACAGAGGAATTGCATGTTTACAACCTTTCTTTTGGATTTCTTGCTCAATCTGTTGCTGTGCTGAGAGTGTGCATGTGGACATTTCCTATTTAAGAAATGCTTTATAATTGTGAATCCTGGTAGTTGTCCTCTGTACCAGAAAGACCTCCACTGTTTGAACACATTTTTAAAAAAATGGATGCCAGGAATAGGGAGGCAGTCAGTTGGCAAATTGTGTATTCCCCAGTGGTGTGCAAGCTGTCCCTGTGGTAACCAGTCACTGGGGAGACAAAGGCACAATTTGGGGCCCTAGAATGGCAATGCAGGGAAGGGAGGCTGGGAGCACTGGCCTCCTTGGTGGGTAATTCCTACAAAGGCCAGTTGGTGGCCATAGTACCAAAAGAGGGAGAGAAAACTAATCTGTGGGTTGGGAAAAGCCAGAAGAGTGCTGTGGTGCTGGGTGGAGACTCAGACTTCTGCCAGTGCCTGGATGCTTTGGAGGACAGGATGAAGCAGTGCCTGAGACTCAGTGTGGCTGTTCTTCCACAGTCGTGCACTTTCCAAAGCCAATAGCTAAAGTTTTGTTGATTATAAGGGCTCAGATTCAAGATTCTTAGGAGTCTAGTTGCACTGACTTAAAAGACTTGACAGGATTTATTTGCACTGTAAGCTTTTCTGGATGGAGGTTTTTGAAAACCACACAAGTGGACTTATAGAATGACTATGGTTCTTGAAACCCACTGATCTGTATGGCTAGGTCTCCACGTGAGATCCATGACCCTGCAAATCAATTTTCCTGGGTCTGGAGAGGACTGCTGAGGGAAGGGGCAAGCAGAGAAGGTCCACAGTCCTTGAATGGGCAGGTTGTTGGACTAACCTTGGTCAGAGTTATAAGTACTGAATTTTATATACCGACATTTACCTTTGATCTTTTTACTGTGTTACAGATTATTTCCACGGTGGACATTTTGAAGTGCATTTTGAGAATGTTCAAGTACCTGCTTCCCATTTAATTCTTGGTGAGTTTCAACATTGCCCTTGTAGCCTCTAATGGCTACAGAACTGCCATGCCTGTGCCTCTGCGTTCCAGGGTTGTAGGGTGAAAAGAACTTCACCAGCAGGATCTTGTCATGTCACAGATCTACAGGAACCTAAAGCTGGATGTGTATCTTATGGTGAGTTGGATCCTGCAGAACTGTTGCAGCAGAAAAGGAACTTTCCAACAGCGGAGGAAGCCTCTTTCTGTTGCAAGACCAGACAGGTGAAAGGTTCCTTCCACTAGAAGGAAGTACTTCTATTAGCAGAAGGCAGGGGTCATTTGGGGGGGACGCCATCCCCCCAGGTGAGGTGCGGGAGGGCGGGGCCTGGAGCTCCCTGCTGGTGCCTGCTGGAGGTCGCCGCTGGCTGTGGGGAGGACACACTTCCGGTGATGTCAGGGGGGGTGGCATATGCTAATGAGTTATGCTAATGAGTCCCCCTAGCTCTTTTTCTACGAAATGACCCCTGGCAGAAGGTATTGGATCCATCCCATGATCAAACCTTCAAGGATGAACAAGCTCCCCTCTTACCTAGGGGTTTGTATCACAAAGCAGAGGTTCAGCTGCATGATTCTGATGCATGTACACAATTTAAAAATGGTATTTGAAACATTTTTCTTAGTTCCACTTCTGAGATGGGAAGAGAAGAAATATGTTTATATATCACCAACAGGAATTCAGCTCTGCCATTGTCCTCTAGATTATAATTATTCTGTGTCTTACATTACTCCTGATGTCTCTGCAATCCTGTGATACCTACTCCTGACACTAGCTTGTTTCTGGTGGGAAGTTAAACTTGGAGGGAGCTTGCACTAACAATTAATATAACACAGTGTTCAGTGCCACAGAAGCAAGCAATCGTCAATCTGGAATTATTGTATAGTAAATTCTCTGGCCAGGAGGGAAGGCAAGCTTAGTGTAGCCTGAACTCACAAGTTCCAAACAAGGTTAGTGCTTGGAAGGGAGACCACCAAGGAAGGCTCTTCAGAGCAAGGTAATAGCTAACTACCTCTGCTTCTCAATTGACTTGAAAGCTGCATGCTGCCGCGGTCCCATAAATCAGCTGTGACTTGACGGCACTTCACACACACACACATTTTATGGCCAGTAGACACACACTACTCTCTTTCTAAAGGTTTTCTTTCCCAGCTTTCTTTTGTGATTCCTTCTTACAAGGCCTTTTCCGACTAGTAGCATTTTAGAGATCTGTCTAAACTATCTCCCAGATTGATCCTTTTAAAATCAAATGCTAGTTCCTCTCCAGTTTGGAAACCAGCATGTCTATTTGTAGCACAAATATCTCACTTGATTAAAAAAAAATGTGTTATGTTCATTGAAGGATATTGTTGAAGCAACCAGTTTTGAATGAGTTTTAAATCTGGTAACTGCTGCCAAGTTTTCTGTTACTGCCCACTGAAAGAAGAAACAAAACAGAATCTCCTGTTTCTGACTGGTTGAGTCGTGTTTGCAGAACTGCATCTATGACAAAAGCTAACTTATCAGAGTCAAGGAGCTGGATCCAAGCAGCTTTTCCACTGGTGAAAAAGAGATGACCAAGTACCCTTTGACCACCCAAAAAACTATGGTGGAGGATCATGAGACCTGCATGGACACAAGACCTGTGGGATGGGGGTGGCAGTAAGGAGGAGAATTAGATGAGATGGTATGATAGAACAGGCCTGCTTGACCTGTAGACCCTGTTCTGCCCACCCCCTCCATTGGGTTCCCAACTCTTGGAGGGAGCTATTCCACTTTCTGTGCTCTAGTTGGCACCACTGTCCTTTTGAGGTCTTCCTGCCAGGAGGGACAGACTCCTGGACTCCCCTTCTCAGTTCTGAGGCCTGGCCTCAAGGTCTCCTGCTACCCAGCACCTGGTTACCATAGGGTCCAAATGCAGCGTTGGGCTTTCCCTGGAGGGTTGGCCACTTGCACCCTAACCTCTTCCCTCCCCTATGGAGCCCCCTTTTTACTAAGAGAGAGAGAAACACAGAGAGAGGTGGAAAGAAAGAATGAAAGAGGTGGAAAGAAAGAGAAAGAGAGAGAGAGAGGAAGGAAGAAAGGAAGGAAGAAAGAAAGAGAGAAAGAAAGAAAAGGCAGGCAGGCAGGCAGGAAGGAAAAGCATGGCTCCCCTTCATTTCCCGACCTGCCCTGCCGGGAGCAGCACAATATGTGTGAAAGAGCCGCATGTGGCTCCTGAGCCACAGTTTGGCCACCCCTGTGCTACCAAATTATTCCACAGAGGCAGTGCGCGCAGGTAGACTTCTCCCCAGAAAAGGAAAATGATCATTTGAAGGATTGCCCTTTCTCCTTTTTGTATTATAGGAGAAGGAAGAGGATTTGAAATAGCTCAAGGGAGGCTTGGACCCGGTCGTATCCATCACTGCATGAGGTCAATAGGAGCAGCTGAAATGGCCCTCCGGATCCTATGTGAGCGTTCAGCTCAGAGGATTACATTTGGGAAGAAGCTGTACCAGCATGTAAGTTCACAGTCATCTTATCTCATATGCTTTTTTTTTTTATAACGCATACCCCTTTCCTAAGATCAAAGGTTCATGAAATAGTGACAGCGAACGTAGAGCTAGGTTTCCGTAGCCAATACAGTGGTTCATGTCCAGGAACTGAGGACAGTGTATGTGTTGTGTTAAATGCCTCGTTAGGAAAGGACAGAAATTATGACATCTCCTAGGGGATTTGGACAGACCCACGGTTTTCTCAGAGCATTCGACTTACAGGTGAGACCAGAATAACACTAGCATTTTCAGAACATGAAGCTATCAGGGATTAAAAGCTGTCAAAGGCTCGAGGGAAGGGGCGTGCCTCAACACCTGTTCTGTGTGCAGAAAGTCCAAGATTCAAGGATCCAGCTGAAAGGACTGGGTAGTAAGTAGACAATACTGAGCTTGATGGACCAAGGCTCTGACTTCGCTCAAGGCAGCTTCAGGTTTTCACCATTCCCCACTTTGAACAGAACAGTAGCTGTGCCCCATGCAAAGTCTACAGGCTCCCCTTCAGCATGTCTACAAGCCCTTCATGAATGGAACCAGTGTTCCCTCTAAGCTAAGCTAGCTCACAGTTTTTTAGCCTCCAGCTCACACACTTCTGTCTTCGCTCAGGAAGGAGGGCTCCAGGACAAACTGATTGATGCAGTAGCCAAATCGCTCGCTCACAGCTTTCATGTCAGGAGCTCACAAAGTAGAACTTTTGCTCACAAGACTCCACAGCTTAGAGGGAGCATTGAATGGAACTGTATGACTGTGGCGTTAGTGTAGTGGACTTTAGCCCCTACAGATCCTAAATACCTAATTTACCAATGGACCTGATTTTTAAAAGTACCTCAGGTGTCATGATGGATTCTTGCACCTGTTTGATCTGTGTGTTTGGAAAAGTGTGACCACACTACTTGTGGTGGCAGCGGCTGTTTTTTAATAAAATCACCATTTGTCTTTCCGGTCCTCCAGGAGGTTGTCGCTCATTGGATTGCTGAATGTCGGATAGCTATTGAACAAGCAAGATTGCTCACGCTGAAAGCAGCCAGCCTCATAGACACTATGGGAAACAGAGCGGCAAGAAAAGAGGTAACAGGAAGAGCCTAGAAACAGAAGAGAGAGAAAAAGTTAGGAGGCATTCCTAAAAAGAGGTGGAACTTCAGTTTTTCTGTTAATGACAAAAAGACATCCAGTCCATACAGTCTGTTCCATCTCTGTGTAAATGGATTAGTTCTTTGTGATTTTCATGGTTCCTTTTTGTTGTGAATACAGCACTCTAGATCATTGTATACTTTTTGCTCCCAGCATTGTTTGAGCAATGTGGATGCACAAAGCTTATTTTGTTCCAAAACTCACATCTGCCTTTTTGCTCCATTGGGGCCACCAGAATTCTCTGTAGTTATTCAACCACACAACTCCATCCTACTTTTGACTTGCTACGTATATTGACAAGTTTGAGTGTGCATGTGGTGAAGTTGCTCCAAATATTAGTTTTTTAAAAATTCTAGAACCACCTGGTCAGCAAAGTAGAAAGTGCAAAATCTAGCTGTGATCAGCATCTCTAAGCTATATGACTGTCTTGCTGTCCACCCACTCCTTTTGGCTTAGCATGCTACAGCTGAAAACCCCTCAAATCCATCCAACTGAATGTGGGAACTCCCCTTCTGCTGTGCTACTTTAGAAAAGAACACAGATCTCACTTACCTTTGCAGGTTTCTATGATCAAAGTGGCAGCACCCCAAGCGGTCCTTAAAGTGATTGATTGTGCCATTCAAGTTTGTGGAGGAGCTGGATTCTCTGAAGATTTTCCTTTGGCTCAGATGTAAGTAAAAGGCTCAGGTAGCTCGTATTAGTTATCACATCCCAGCCAGTGTGTGTGGTGATCTAGCAAGGCCTCAAACTCCTTGTGGTTGCTGCTTGCCCAGAGCTGCAAAATTAAAAGTTTAAGGCATGAGGTTATCAGCTACCTATCATTTCCTCTGTGATGACCTTGAACTCTCAACTTTCTTCTGCAGGTTTGCTTACGTTCGGACCTTACGTGTAGCAGATGGGCCTGATGAAGTTCATCTTTCAACAGTTGCAAAACTAGAACTGCTTGATCAAGCCAAGCATTTGACTGCACATCTCTAGATTGTTGATAGCATCATAATTAGATCTGATTTCCACACAAGAGAAAAGCGGTAAAGTGAAAGAGTACGTTGAGGTGATCACCAATTCAACATTAAATGAAACTATTAAATGTAACACCCCACTTCGGCACAATTAATAAAACCTGTAACATGGGTAAGGGCTTAGATTCAAGTTTAGACATATGGGAATACTTGAAACATTCAAGTATTTCTAGACTGAACAAATTAATGAAAATGATGTTTATTGCTTTGAGTGCACCCATACAAAGGTGGTTGGTTATCAAACATCTAACCAAGGCTGAAAAAGTAGATGGGGAGACATGCTCTATCATTAATACATAGTACTGGATAGTATGTAATTTTGTTAAAACATTGTCTAATAAGGGAAATAGCAATATGTGTTCTGTGGTGTACCAGATGTGGGGAACGTATAATATCCAGCTGAATTTGAATACCACCATTTTTACACTATTTGTGTATAGAAACACATATAACACTATTTGTGTATAGAAACGCATATACAGGTTTAATACCACTGTCACTGAAAGAGCATCTGAATGAGACAATATTAAGGTCTACTGTTTGACACACTATTCTCACTTTAACTGGTGATGGCTACAGTGATGCTCACAAGACAGCTTTTGCTTTCTTACACTTCCACTGTCTTAATAAATTTCACCCTTCACCTACTATTGGACTCACTCTTTTCTGATCTGTGCTAATACTTGCTATGTTGCAACAACAAAACTCATAAAATCTTCTATACAGGTGGGTCTGTTGGAAGTATTTATTGTCATGTCAGCCTTATCCTCTCTTGGACATTTGAAGAGTATCCCTAAGATAGTGAAAAAGACAACCGATCCAGTCCTCTTTATGGGGACTGATTCTTGAATCCTTTTTTTCTACTCCGCAATTGGCTGCATCAGTGAAAACCAACATTGTCAACCCTTCACAAAAATGGGATTGAGGGACCACAGCCCAATCGACCACGACTCAGTTCCAACAGAGGGGTTTAAAACTCAATTGGTAGTGATCTAGGGTTGCCACAGCAGGCCATCGGGGGGGGGGGGGGGGGACTGAACAGGATGAGCTGAGGCACTAACTGCTAGCAGATTTGATTTTCACCATGGTCCCTTTCCCTCCACAAACATCCCTTTTGATCCCTTCAATGATAATGCCTGGAGTTATGCATCTTGTGTGGATAAAAGCCACAGGAAGCTGCAGTTAAGGATGGAGAATTGGTCTTCTGTAAGCAGATTTTGGTATTGACTGTTAAGGCCTTGAGTGGGACCCACATACCTTCGGCACCGCCTCCTCCGGTATGTCCCCCGAAGAGCTTTACGCTCTGCTGAGAACAACTAACTGGTGATCCCTAGCCCTACAGACATCCAGCCGTCCTTGAGACTCTATGACAATTTCAGCTGTTTTTACACAAACAGATTCTGTCTGGCTTATGCCAACAGATGTAGAACTCATTGATGAAAGCTTTCAGTTTCAGAGAAAAATGGTAACTAAATCCTTCAAATTTACAAAGAATCACTATAATGGAAGTCTGTCTCATTAACAAGGATTTCAGTTCCCTTTATTTTTTAAAATTCTATGTACATATGAATGATCTGTATAATGTACATTCAATATAGAAAGTTTTATATACGGGATAATGTATAGAACATATCACAATTACACTATGCTTTTATATAACATTTTTTTTTAAATAGGGTTTTTTTTTTGCTGCACTTTAATTTTTCAATTTGGTAAAGCCAGTTATACATACAAATTTGTTAGGTCTTGTGAAACGTAATGTTAATGATCAAGGACACAAGTAAACATCAAGTCAGCCAAGTCCAAGAGGGATGATCACATCCGACTTGGAGACAAGGAGGAAAGTGTTCTTCTTCGAGAGGATGGGAGGATCAAGGATCAAGTGATTTAGCCCAATTCTTCAAGACTGTAGTTCAACTCCAGTCATGCTAAGTTCATAAGATACAAAAAACTAGGAAAAAGTGTTGTTTGATTCACAGTCTTGTAAACAAAAATATAAAGGAACAAAAATGTGCTCACGTACAGCAAGAAACAAAAATTCTTCTGTACCCCATTTAAGCTGATCCACAGAGTACTTTTCTCCTTATGTTACAATGTGATAGAATTGTGAATTTTTTTTCTAAAAAAAATATATTCATAGAAAAAGGAATAACACTGTCATGGAACTGGAAAGGCAGGCAAAATTCGTTGCAACTATTTAGACCAAGGAACGGAGGCCTCCCTCATCACTGGCCAGTCTGCCATGGAGTCTCTCACTCGCACGGGTATTTCATGTCCTTTAACTGGCATCTCCAGCATCGTGGTCCACCGGAGGTGGGACGCTGGGCAGGACAGATGAAGACCTCCCTGCAGTAAGGTAGCCAGCAACACCAGGACCTGTTTGAGGAAAGGGGGAGGGAGAAGAGAATATCTTTAGAAGAAGCTCAATGAGTAACTCTGAGCAACTGAGTATGTTTCAAGCTGTTTCTTCAGCTCAGACAACTAAGCTGGTTTGACCTCTCCACAGCATGTCAATGTTAATCTCTAGAATGCATTTAATCAGATTTTTTTTGTTCCTCCATCATCACTGAAATGGCACTTTATTAACCATGTGCATTTTAAACAATATCTTCTTTCAGAAAACAAAATGTGAGCCCAGAACAAGTAAAGTCACTGTTGCAAAAAGCAAGGCTAGCGGTTCTGCAACAGTCTACAACAGATACAAGTTTGCTACAACTGTAGGCCATGCACCTAATCAGCATTCTGTTAGAGGAACAGAGCAGATGCAACATGCACTGAGCAAAGTGGTATCTACCTGCTTTAGAGCGCTAGAGAGAAGTTTAGCAAGCTGCCTGCCAGAGTAGATCTAAAGCCCACTTCTGAGATGAAGGGGACTGCTACCAGAGAGAAGGGAAGGAGAGGAGATACCTGAGGGAGAGAGAAACCAGAAGCAAGGGAAGTACAGACAGCAAAGCACTTTTAAGCAAAGGTGAAGCACAACTCAGTAGTGTCTAGGAAGGCCTGGAACTGACAGATTGTTTACTCCTATAAAAGGTACATCCAGGCCCTTCAGAACTGCAAATTCAGAATTAAGGCCAGAGTTGACCACAGGGATGCTTTTCACCAGGTGATTTACCAGGAGTTGTTTTTAAACTCTTATCAACCCATTTCAGCTTCTCACTCCATTCAATGCGTAAAACCCAAGGTGGAAGGGGAATTAAGGTGTTATTTCAAGGTAGTTAATAAGGCAGAACACTCAAAGGGGGAATGAGAAGAAATGCCTGACTTCAGGAGGTGTTACTAACCTGTGAGGTATCCCGCTGTCTGAGTCTCAGAAATGAACAAGTCATGTTTCTGATCTTTAAAGGCACTCCACACAGAGGAACGAGACAAGATTTCGTTTACCTGGAAAACAAGAGACCCACAGAAAGGGGTTTTTACCTATCTTATTTGCTGTTTACTCACTGCAAGTTGTAGAGAACACTGCCATTTGTTACAAGGATCAGCTAATACTTTAATTTCATGAGGTGGTGTTCTCTTAAGATGCGGGTTATAAATCCTGTTCTTTGTAAAAGAGTGAAAATGCAAAGCGATATCTTGACGTGCTTTAAAAAGGAGCTCAGGAGTCCGCTATGGGATGCTTACCTGCTCTCCGTACTGTAGGCTGCGAGTCATAGATTTCAGGGCTTTCACAATTTGAGCTTTTGTAGCTGAAGGGCTTTCCAGATTTTCAAGGCCAATGCCCTCAAGCAATTTTAGCAGGTACAGGACCAAGTCTGCTTTCAACGCCTACAAAAACAAGATTGTAAGCTACTTAATGATGGTCCTGAAAAAGGGAAAGACTCATCGGTCTCTGAATCCAGCTGAGCGTTTATCACAGACCTACATGGCTGCTGGGAAGATTTGTAGCTCAGATTAAAATAAACATATTTCAGATGGGTGTGTTAGCAGGACTCATTTGAAGATTACCTTAATGTACAGCAGAATTACTAAAGGAGGAATTCACTAGCTTTCCAACGCTCATGACAGCTTTCCCACATTCTGGCACTGTGGAGTGCGGTTCTATCAACGCATGCACACACACCAGAGTTTGGCCAGACAGGCACTTTTATTATTTCTTAAGCTTCCATTGCACCCCACCCATCACAGATCGCAATTCAGCTTACACAGGATTCCTAAGTGATCTCTAGTCACAGATTATGTTGCTGTATACAGTGCTTTCAGATTATCGCATTACATTTTTAGAAGATACTCCTCCAAGCATACTTATCCACCCACCCCAACTGGACTGAAAGAAGCACAAGAAACTCTGGACCATAAAGCTAAAAGCCACACAATAATGAAAGTTATGAAGCCTGCTTACTTGGGCTACTAAATCATTCTGCTCTTTTTGAAACATTCGGTTAAGGGCTTCGCAGGCTACCCCAATAGTATCCGGTCGCTTCTTCATTCCATTCATCATAGGGCTTGTATCACAAGAGAGAAAAAAGGTGGGGGGGGGGGGGGGAGAGAGATTTTTATACTGTCTGCAGATTCACATTTAACAGATGTCACACTGACACATACATAAGGGTGAAAAAAGATCCAGCACAACTGTCTTGCAGTTACCACATCACAAGCTGCACCGCCCTTGACAAAGCACACTCCTAGTGCTTCCACTGAAGAAATCTGCTGACGCCTAGTTAACTACTGTACTCCATACTGGAGAATGTGGGTGTGTTTTAACTGTACCCCATTCAATATTGTTCTAACTGGTCTTAACATGCCTGCTACTTGCCTCTGTTTCATTAACCATCAGCCCTACAATCAGAGGCACCGATGACTGAAGTTCTACAAACAAACAAGCCTCCCAGTAATCCTTCGTTCTTGCCACAGAATGTGACTTTAAATTTGATCAAATCTGGAACAGACCACAATCCGCATACCTCATTGTCGGCCAGTATGTGTATGACACGCATGGCACTTTTAGGAATGGCATTGTTCTTGTGATTCATGGCCTGGAGAATCTTGGGAAGATGACCAAGTGGGGGAACCTGATCTGCTAGCTGAGGCTGAGCGCCGAAGAGGCACACCGTTGCTGTCGTTATGGTTTCGAGTGTTTCCCCCTGTTCCAAAACAAAAAACAAACACCACGAGGTAAAATTCTACAGCAAGCCCATCAGTAGCCAGTTTTGCAAGACAAGACTTAACACCACCCAGGAGTTATGTGTACCTTATATCTTAAAATGCCCTGGTAAGCACTTCACAGGCTGATAAGTGGTAAGCCAGGCTTGGTGGTACCTCAGGGTGGCTTATCCTTTTGGAGGGGGGCCACAACCAAAATTATCTCTTTTAATTAATAAATAATTAATCTTCTGGGGGAAGAATTTTGCATAGAAAACCAAACCCTATCGGCAGAATCTTTGCATAAATCGTTTTATTTATTTATAAATCAAATTTCTAGACTGCCGTCCCCTGTAAGACAGGATTCAGGGTGGTGTAGAACAATAAAACCGTTCATAAATAAATGTATAGCTAATTTGTATAGCTGATTATTTGTGTGTGCAAATGAACACGCATTTGGTGGTCTTTACAGCTCTTGCGCACAGAGGTTCTTCTTCTACATTAAACACAGAAGCAGAACTTGACAGGTAACCAAGGCATTTATTCAGCTTCCAGATATTTAATAACTGCACAATCCTAATATAAAACAAATGTGCTCCACTTACATGTGGGTTGTTCTTCTCCAGTAGTTCGGTGAATTTTTCTAACAGTGCAATGAGAAATTCTCTAGGTTTTCGAAGGACCCAGGCCGGCTGGGCAATAAAAATTCTTAGGAAGACTCCCCCTATGGATAATTCTCCTTCTGCTTCACCATATACCACAGCAAAGTCCTCAGGCAACTGGATCAATCAGAAAGGAAAATGATCGTTCTGAGTGGTCACTAAAAGGATGTAGCTAATGCAAGCTGCAGGCCCAATTGCTAAAGTTAGGGGGCAAGTTCTGTAGGGTAGTGCCAGGTTATTACAGCAATGTTAATTGTGGTAAAAATTACTTTCAGATGAGACTAGGCCATTTTTGTGATTCAGTTTAAATTGGCTTAAGTCTCTGTTGTCTGGCTCACTCTCCCATAAAGTGTAGCCACTCTCAAGCAAGTGCTGACCGGCTAATGCACTCTGCCCAGAAGAATAGTTTACATTCCTGGAGTTCATGGTACCAGCCTTGAAGTCTAAACATCTAGATATCAGGGTATGCGGCTCCTTCTTGACACAGGGAGGGTGTCTGGAGCTTTCTGACCTCACAGATTATGAGGTGACTCTGAGCAGAGTTCAGTTGGCCATTGAGGGCCATGGCTGGGTTCTTGTCACAGTCTTGATTGGCATCTACATTGGATTCCATAGATTGCACAAGCTATATAATTGCTTGCTCTTGTTTTACTCTGGGCTGCCTGCCAAAGACTCTTGAGGTTTTGGTGTGAGCTTGGCTAGCAGACAGGAATATACTCCTCTTTGAATTCTAACAGTGCATTATTTCAGGTATTAGAGTTCTGTATGTTATTGGATTTTTCTTCTGCATGGTTTCAAGGTTCAATAAATAGTTTTTAGTGTGAAGCAACTGTCCTATTTGTCTCAGTGAGAAGACAGCTGCAGCTCTTTCCTTCACTATCCCAGAGAGAAATTGCACATGAACACAAACAACCACCACATTCTTGTTTCAGCTCTTCTGTTAACCTAAATTTAGCATTTAAATTTTGTTTTTTACCTTCCAGTTAATATCTGGGTTGTCTCTCTGTAGTTTAAAGTGCCTTTAAAACAGAAAGAAAATCATTAGGGTAACAACTCATTAACTGGATTATAAAAGGAAATGGATTTTAGTTGAGACTCAAACCCAAATAAGCTAAATATTGCTTTGGTTGGTTTCAGAATTGTTGATTAGTACAGGATATTTGCATTATCCTACTTGATACTTGAAGATCCATAACTACGCTGCGGCTTCACTTAAAAGAACTGAAGGGTTCTCAGCTGCATTTAGGCTGGGCTTTTACATTCTGTTTTATCATGAATTTGGCTACACAAAACAGACATTATTGTACTACTACTGAGACATACTCTAGCATCATTTCACGGACAGTGGTTGACACCTTCTCCCTGGAGTTGTCATTCCATATTAACTCAGGATTTTCATGTGTTCCTTCAAAAATATGAACAGCAGCTTCAGGATTATCTCTCATGGCATCCATAAATACACCAGGCAGAAACTTCATAAGGATAATCCTAACCTAAAGAAGACGACAGATTGCAGAAATACAGTAAAACGAGGCAATGAGTATTGTAGTGAAATCTGCACTTAAATGTGCCCAATTATATAAGCAAAGCACTAAGAAATCTCAACTCTACCCAGAAGAGCGAACTGTGTTGGGAATGCCTCCATACGGAAAAAAATACATTATTCTGGAAACGTCCCATGTTGCTAAATAAACCCAGAAATGCAATACCCCTTTGAATCCTAAAAATAGGCTTTTCTAGCCAGAGATGTCTCCAGACACCAGGTAGGGTCTCCACAGAATGTATTTAAAGCCACCACCTAGTTGAGGTTGTTCATTTGTAACCACACAACAGTGGTTGGATTCAAAGGTGCCCTTCAGTGTGTAAGTGTCTTCTGCTCACAGTACACAGCTGCTTCACACCTGTGCTAATAAGCTGGGTGGGAAAAACGAATCCAAATCAAAAGATGTGTAAGCAGAGTAACAAGCAGAAGCAGAAGAACCACTGCAGAATCTGCCTACTATAGCACTGCATAAACTTATGTGCACGTGTGATTGTCGAACAGCACTAGCAACTGCCCCTCCTTCCACTCATGTTTCTTTGGATCCAACCCATATATCTGCTCCTAATAAAACGATGGGCAGCCTTTTTGATAAGGGAGCTGTTAAGCCACAAGACTCTACTCCAGCATGCATTATGGTATGCTTTCAGCCGCCTGCACCGGAGTGCTGTTTGAACAGCCATACAGGAATCTACGCTCTCTCACCTTTGGACCCACCAGCTTATCCGCTGTCATTTTAGCAAAGAGCTCTGCTGTTTGAGATCGAACTTGTGGATGGGTCGAGTTGCAGAACATATCAAGTAAGTAGATTAAAGCACCTAGAAAAGGGACAGAACGGCAATTGGCTCTTCCAGTCACAGCAAGTTTGTAGACACACTGGCTGCAACAAGAATCACGTACTATATTAATGTAAGGGCATGTGGGACATATTTCTAAAGGGCTCCAATGACCATAGTAGGGCCCCCATGGCCATTGTGACGTCTTTGCTTCCGGCAGTTTGCCTGGCTTGATGCACAGCTCTTCCCTCCCCTACTTTTTCTCCTCCCATTGCTCCTTCTTACTCCCCTGCAGGAAGACTGAACCGAAAATTCGGAATATACAATTCACTTTTAGGGGCTTCTTCTCTTGCACATGATTTCCTACTACCCAGATAACGTATTTGGTGTTTTATAAATGCCACAAGGGATGGGTTTTTTTAAATGTATTTCTCATTTCTATCGTCGTCGTTAATCATAATAGAAAAGTTCACACTGAATTTAAAAAAATTAAGAACAAGTAACAAACACTGCTGTACCTTTCGCCATCGCTTCTTTCACGATTTTGGTACTAGATGTCAAAGCATACAGAGTTTCAAGAACAAGCTGCCGACCTGCCGAGATTAAGCGACTTTTAGTAAAGCCCAAAGTTTAAATCCACTTAAGAGAGAAATTCAGCACAAGACACAACAAGGCATGGGGCAGACTTACAGGGAAGGGCTCTAATTCAAGAATTGGAGCAAGAAGCTTCCATGGAGTTTAGGTCCACAGACATACACTTCTAATCTACAATAATATTTATCGCTATTTCTTACTGCTCTGATTATATATCTGCCCTGCAACCTAAGAATTGAAGCTGACACTTTCTGCATAGATTTTGATGCATTACATAGCTGAGTGTTAATACATGATGCTGAATTATCAATCAACCCATTTCTCACTGCCCAATAATTAATAACATTTCTTGTATTATGAGTAAGTTACACCTACCCAAATAGCTACCATGCAGAGATAACACAATAAATACTGATGGAGAACTGTAGCAAATGGTACCCTTTTAAGCCACATTCTGTATTATTTGTGAAGTCTGCAGCCTTGAGCAGGTGTCGCTTACAACAAAGGCTATCAGGGCTCAGGGCTTCTGCCTCTGTTTTGAATGCCAAGCCCAAGCCGTGAAGCACAAAAACAAGTGCTTCTGTCAGCAGATCCTGATCTATCACCAGCAAATAATCATAATTAGCCCTGCATATCTGTGATCGAAGCGCAAGTCCCCCAAGGTTAGAGACCATGGTTTCTAAACACTCTGGACCCCAAAAACATTCTTCTCAGGAACTGGGCCCACAATGCTGTGTAAACGTATATGGGAACCAACAGAGCTTACTCCTCCATAAACATGCACATACTGGGGTGGAAGAATTAGAGTTACTGCACTACAGAAATGCTTGATTTTTCATGGTTTTCCTTGTTGGTATTTTTTTTTTAAGTGCCCTGAATTTATCTCTGTTGCAGATGGTCCTTTGGTCATTGAATGCTTCAATATAAGCTCTACGTACTTGATGGCAGTGAATGCAGAAGGGCCAGTAAGTTGGAAAGGACCATTGCCTCTGCAATATTGTTAACACATTCCTGATTACTAGTTACTATGTTCACCACCTGTGGGGGCGAAAAAAAAAAGACAACATTAACACCAGCTAAACTTGGAACTGGCAGCTTTTGCCACTTCTATAAACTCTTTCAAGATGGGATCAAGATGGCTTGGCCATGCCGTGCTGCACGTTCACTGGCCATGGCAGGCTAATTTGTCTCTTCTTCTCCTCTGTGAACTATACAGCATTTTTCCTCTGGCTCCTCCCAATCAAAAGAGGGATGTGGGTGTTGCTGTGCATGTATGCCCTCCTTCTTCAAGCTTGCCTGGCACTTCCCTTACTTCTCTTTAGGCACTAAGCTAAAACACTGCTCTTTACCTAGGCTTTTAACTAAAGGGTTTACTTTTTATAGCTTTCTTATGGTCAGCTCCTAGCTTGAGGGCTGTTTTTAGTCATAATTGCTTTTAGCCTTCTACTTTATCCACTTTTGTCTTGGTTTTTAATGGCTGACTTTACTGACCTGTTGTTATTTTGTTTTCCTTTGTTCTCAATTGATTTTGTTTTTATTGTTATTTTCTTTGTTCTGTTTTGCTGTTTATTCCCCCATGACCCTTCCCCCATATCTAAGCCTCCTTAGAACTCTTGGCCACGGGTACGCTTTTATGTTGGGCAGACTGAATGTCCTGTCACCTGCAGAGCTCAGGGGGTGCTGTTCACCAGAACTCCATATTCTGACTGCTACCACTGCTGTGCATCTGGAGTAACATTATCTTATTCTATGATCAATGGATGCCACTCAGAAACCTCTGGATTAGATGTATCCTGAATAAATATCAGCTGGTTGTCAAATCTTGCATAACCTCTTTTTTTGCTGGCAGACTGCAATCTAGAAATAATGCATTCTGTTGCCAAATTCATAGTACTTTTGGCTTCTTTATTCTGTTACAAAGACAGGTTTTAATTTGCCATGCTATATTTTAATGTTTACTGTCTTGTATTTTTATCTTGTATCTGTACTTACTTTGCTCAAGACCTTTGGTCAAAGGGGCATAATAATAAAGGAAAGAACTTTACATGGGAGCCACCTCAAGTACATCTGGAGAGGTAGCATGCACATTTTCTAAACAAACATAACATGTTAACAAGACTTGGCCCCATTGTTAATTTGATTTTCCTTCTTAGCTTTTCTTGTCAAATGGTGTCAAATGGGTGGCACAGGAAATTACATCGCAGAGAATTAAAGTTTGTTAGTTATATTAATGGTAGTCAAAAGAAGAATCCTTGCACTCCTTTGACAGAGAGCACACGAAGGATGTAGTGATGCATACACCACCATAAAGATTCTGGCCATACAGGAAGTGAACTTCACCCTGATCCATCTACATAGCACATTCAGAGGTCAAGTAGCAAACAACTTTTAGTGGTTTGTTACCTCCAGAGCCAGCTGTTGTACTTGACCAGCTCCGTGGACACGTAGAAGGGAGAATATTAACTTAAAGTGCCCTATGCATTCACACTCTGAACCTAGGTGAAGAAAAGAGATGTAACAAGAGAGGTAAATCAACAAAGTAAGTGAAACGTATTTTTACCCCCAGAAACAGTACCTTTAAAGATCTATCCGAAAACAGTTGGAAAAACAGCTGTTTCAGTGTGATTATATGTACCTTTCAGTAGCTTGAGGATAAGCTGTTCAACTGAGTTTTCATTTATACATACAAAAAAGCTAAGCACCACTGTTGGTAGGAGACAGTGGTCTTCAGCTCACAGAAGCCCTATCTGCTGCTCTGAGAGCCCCTGTAGAGACTTTTTTGGAAGGATCTGCTGCTGGCATACATAGAGAATTCTTTCCTCTCTTGCATGCACATTGAGAGCAGCAGTAATAGGACAAGATGAGGTCACTCAGCACTGCAGCACTATAGCACTATAGTTCTGACCCTTGGCATGTTCTTCAACACAGTGATCCTGCTGGTGCTCAGCTTATTTTTCCTGTTCCCAGTCCTTGCCTCGACACTGACTAAATATTAGTCCCATGCCTTCCTTTCAATGTTTTCTTGCTTTGCGGGTCCCATGCTCAGTAGATGCTGTATCAGCTAAGATGAATGTCACTTACCTGGGTTATGTTTTATTACATTCCTCAGAGCCTCCAAAGCCATTTCAACCCTTCTGAGCCTCTCTCCATGTTGGTTAGACTCTACTTTCCCAGTCTGGGTGATGGCCATTAACGTATGAAGGTATTGTGCTTGTGAGCCTATATAGTCTAAAAGGCTTGCAGCAAATGCTTTAGGAAGCTACAGGAAAAGAACACAATAATAATTATATTCAGTAAAGTACCTGTTAGCATATTAAAGATTTCAAATTCAGTGATAAAATCAAATCTGAGTATTGACATTTTTTCCAACTTCAGTAAATAGGGTTTTCTGTGAACAAAACCCTCTCTACCAGATAAGACCAAAATACCTTAAACAGACCAACATATTTTAAATAGCAGTCAAAGTTCTATAAAATGTGGTTACTTCATCTCGCATCTCAAAGATTCAAACGCTGGACTACATTCACAAAGCAACACCTGACAAGAGAAAGCTGAGAGACATCTCCTGACAGCATGCACAGTGCTACTAGTTCAACCTTAAGCACTTTCTCTGCATTCAGACTTCATGATAAGCTGCGGTTTACACAGCAGTGACTTAAAGAAACTCCAGTTCAGTGCAGTCTGAATGCGAGTTGGTAGGTGCTAAACTGGGATTTTAAACTACGGCTTACACTTGGCTTGTTAACCACACTTTGCACTAACTATGGTGTGCTGTGAAATATGAATACAGAAAAGTGTTTGCTGAGTAACATTTCTTTTATTTAAAATATTTTTATGTCTCCTTCCCACCTGATCAGGATCCACAAGATGGTGAACATAAAAACATTAAAACATATGAGCAATTAAAAATAAAATTCTAAAATAATTCAATGAAGACACATAAACAACTATCACCTCTCCCTCGATCCTGCATAGGGAGGGAGGCCCGTGCTTAACAGGAAACCAGCAACTGTCCACTACAGATGGCACACCATCCCCTGCCTTCACTCTGAATTCTCTCCACATAATCCCAGCAAGTGATGACTCATCAAGAAGAGTGTGCTTCAGAGAGCTAAAATTTATAGTGCAGCAGGAAACGAGAAAGAAAAGGCATGGGGGGGATGAAGCTATAAAGAAATCGATTTTGTTCAAGAGTACGGTTTAGGGGATGCAGTGAAGTGATTCAACGGGGACAGGGAAATCAACTGACAGCAAGAGAGAAAGGGAAGGTTAGGACTCTAAAGAGATTTGTTTGAACATAGGAAGAGCCCTGCTGGATCAGACAAAGGGTCTAGTCCAGCATCCTGTCTCACACAGTGGCCAACCAGTTCCTCTGGAGGGTCAACAGGGCACAGAGGCCAAGGTCTTCCCCCTGATGTTGCCTCCTGGCTATGAGATTCAGAGGCTGACTGCCTCTGAATGTGGAGGTTCCCCTCAGTCACCATGCCTCATAGCCATTAATAAACTTATCCTCCATGAATCTAATTCCCTTTTAAAGCTGTTTATTTATGGTGAGAGTTTTAAAGCTCAGGAATTCAGTGAAGTGGCTAAGATGAAACAGGGGAGGGAAACTCACGATGCTTATCTGGAAGCGTGTAGAAAAGCAGGCTTGTCTTGCCCTAAATTTCTTCCTCACAACAACCCCCCCCCATTTCCCTTCCATTTACTGCAGCCAGTATCAAACAGGCTGCATACCTAGTAACTTAGCAATGCAAAACAGACAAGGACAAAACAGACGGGAAAGAAAGCATGCTGCAAATCAACTGGCATTATGAGCATGCAGTGGTCTGTTGTGCACATCTGGCAGACTAACCAGAGTTTGTTCAACAAACTTGTTTTAAGCAAGCCACTGCCGATGGTGATGTCTGAGTACAGCCTGTAATTGAACCGAAAACACAGGTGGGGAAATTTCAGTCACTGACAAACACGTCATGTTGGTTATGTCCCAACCGCCTATTGAAAAGATACTTTTCTAAAGGTTTCAGTCTACCAGTAGCAAAAGCAGAACCTCACCTCTAGCTGGAATGTGGGGACTTCATTGTAAACTCTAACAAAAATCTCTCCTACAATGAGTTCCTTCGCATGATCACTGAAGACAAATTCCGACCCATAACTTTTGTCACAGTCACCCTTCGGGAGAAAAAGTTTAGTTTAGCATCTTTACAGAATAAATTACTTTCAGGAACACTACTGTGTGGCTTCCTACAGGGGAGAAACATGCACTGACTCAACACAGAAGCAGCAGAATCCTTCACACAAATACACAAGCCTTAAAAGTTGTAGAATATAGCTGTGTTGGTAGCCACAAGTAGGGCTGTACACGTATTTCATGTGTTTTTGGAATGTAAGAGTTAGGATAGAATTCGGCTAAGAACTCCAGCTTTCATTTCCTGGACTTCTTTGCAGGACAGGCTGAAAATGTGGACAGGGGGAACTAAAAGGAGAGCCGGCCAGTGCTTCTATCCTTGCCTGCACAACACCTGTAAGAGGCACTACTTGGAACTAGGCTTCAACCTTTTCAGCTGCATCACCTTTGTAAATATTTGCTTTCTTATTGTGAAAAAAACACAACAGGCTTGCGTGCCGCCTCTTAGCATGCCTGCCTTAGCCTCTCCCAACTAGCCAACATGACAATTTTAAAAGGCGTCTCACTCTTTTGATCATGCTTTCCTGCTGCGATTCTAGGAATTCAAGGAGCTCTGCTCTTGTCCGGTTGTTCCATATCAAGTACGGGCTCTCTGTGTTGCTGTTGAGCATTTTCAGAATCTGAGGGGAAAGGATAAGGACAAAAATTAAGTTCAAGATAACTTTCGTTTCTTTCCACATACACTTCCTTCAGTCGTCTTAAGACCTCCTTAACACTACTTCAGGAACATCATCTAGCTCTCTCACGTCCTCTCTGGTGTTTAATCTTTAACACCTGTGCTTTTCTTAATGTAGAGATCTGGCACTAAGTTGTTGTTCACTACGTATCAGCTTTCTCACGACATGTCTCACTACATATCAGCTTTCCACACTGTTTTCTTCCACACTGCCATCGACCTCCAGTTCAGGTCCTGCTGGATAGAGAGACTGGTTCAAATTCCCCCTTGGCTATGAAGTCCACCAGGAGGTCTTCGGCCAGTCACTCTTACTCAGCCTAATCTGTCTCACAGGGTTGTTGTGAGAGAGAAAAATGAGTGGGAGAATCGTATCAGTAAGTGACCCTGAGCTCCTTGAAGAAGGGAAGGATTACAGTATATACAAAGAACAATGGCAATATAGAACATGAACATGGTGGGGCCCAAAGCAACCATTTGCCACATGGAGTAGTCAAGCTCTCAAAGTTATCTTCAGTAGCTTTAACATGGCATCTGAATTGTGTGATAGCCATTAGTACTAGAGAAGAAGGAGAAGAGAGCTGGTTTTATACGCTGCTCTTCACTACCCAAAAGAGTCTTGGAGTGGCTTACAATCGCCTTCCCTTCCTCTCCCCACAACAGACACCCTGTGAGGTAGGTGGGGCTGAGAGAGAACTGTGACTAGCCCAAGGTCACCCAGCTGGCTTCATTGAAAGAGTAGGGAATCAAACCCAGTTCTCCAGATTAGAGTCCGCTTCTCTTAACCACTACACCACACTGGCTCTGTTAGCTCCCTGGCCCAGAAGAAAAACATGCTGTGTTATAATTGTCAGAAGAAATCCACAGACCTCTACCATACTCCCATATCTTGTTTAAAAATTCAATTAGTTGTCATATGAGGACTGAAGGTTCTTATAAATGCTTCTGTCAAATACTCTCAGTTTCCAATGATTAATGACTAAGAAATGTCCTTCCACATTGCCATTACTTAGCCTATTGAGAGCTCACAGAGTAATCCTAACTACTGAAGTAAAGCAGACAAGTGTTAGTATGATCATTAAATGTTGGGGTGTACCTCAGTAGGACTAACTACTGCCAGCTTCCTTGCAATATAAGGAGTAAGCATGCTTGCAAGACTTTTTCTGATGGCTGGATTTTCAGGTGTAGCTTGTTCTCCAGGAAGATATCCTCCAAGACGGCTCAAAGCAAGGAGGCCAAGTTTGGCAAGGCTATTGGCTACTTCCTGTTAATAGAAAATAGTGATTCAAACCTACACTTATGTTACTTGAGTAGTAACACCTATATTACTTCTGTTTTCATAAGACTAAAGGCTATTTGGACATGCACTCAATATGCAGAAGCAAGCATAATTCATCTTTAAAATACTGCTCAAGCTGTACAAACAAGGTTACTCAGGTTACATGCTGCCATATCTTAAATTCTTTTTCACTTTCCATTAAGACTTCTCCCATATTACCTGCTGATTGGAATCTTCACTCTTCTGAATACCACTCTCTTCCAGCGTGTAATCATAGTTGAAGAGGTAACCAAGTAAATACCACAGAACCCCAGCTCCAAAGAGATGTGTCTGTAACAAGTAATCCACAGCAAACGAGCTGACGCATTCTACTCCCAGGGAAGCCACACGTGGAATGGTCTAAAGGAGGAGGGGAAAACAACGGCTTTGAATTATTAATGAAAAATGGTGAAGCCCAACGGGAATAAGACAAATTATATTTTACTACAGGGGTCTTTTCGTAGAAAAAGAGCTAGGGGAACTCATTAGCATAACTCATTAGCATATGCCACACCCCCTGACATCACCGGAAGTGTCATAAGGCCACACACCCCACCCCCAACGGTCCCGGCTGCCACTGCCGGCCTTGCAGCTCCACGGCCGATCCCCATGAGGGGCCCGGCGGTGGACCTGCAAGGCCGGTGGGAGTGCAAGGAAGCCCCGCAAAGGCCCTCCCTGGCCCCAGGCAGGCAGGAGTGGGGAGAGGCAGGGAGGAAGCAACTTACCCTCCCTCTTCTCCTGCCTCCTCCTGGCTGAATGAGGGCCGGAAGCGGGGCGACCGGAAGTGGGGGGCAGGGCTTCGTCATGTGCCCCACCCCCCATACCTCACCCGGGGGAACTGCGTTCCCCCCCGAAATGACCTCTGTTTTACTATAAACTGCAAATATTGCAGCTACAGTATGATCCTAAGAGTGCACGGATCTTTCCTTTAGTTTTCTTAATGTAGTGTTCTAACGAAGTCATGCTGAAGTGCAGTGTAGATGAATAAATGAACTCCTAGGGTTTGAGATCAGCAGCTTCTGCAAGATACAGGTCTGCTGTGTATGCAAAAAACACAGCGTTTTCTACACATTAAGGCAAGATGACATCTAATTTGAATTGAAGTCCCGAGAGGATGCAGCTTTTACAATCTGATGCAGGCATCTGAGGTCCTACTTCTTTTCTCAGCACACAGAGGAACTATTTCTAGAGGCTAGGAAAAGGGCGACACAGAAGCCTCAGAAGAGGTTACCTGCCCATAGTACAGCCCTCGACAGAGGTCCTTGATGACATGGGGCATTTCAGTTATTTTTTCTCTGCAGTCTTCAAACTGAGCCGCCACGCTGTAACACTTACAAATATGTCCACACACCTACGAAGAGAATAAAAACTTCTCTATACCACATGGAATTTTGGCTCACTATGTAACACTGGAGACAGCAAATCCACCTCCCGTAAAAAGTTCAAAAGCAGGGTAGATTTGCAGAGGACTTACCATCCAATGCCCTTGGGAAGAATTAATAGTATTTCTTTGTGCAGTGTCTAATGTTACAATAAGCAAGAAGGCTATTATAATTCCCATTTGATGAACAACTGAGCCTTGGGAGAGCCATATACCCAGTGGCACCCAGCAGGTGCATGGGCAAGTACATGCGTGAAACTGGACTCCCACATACAGGTTCCGTTTCAGCCCACACACACAGGTCACATCTTCCACGACAAGGATTTCTTTCACACTTACCTGGACTGACATGTCATCTGGCTTACTGGAGCGTGTCAGGACTGCAACACAGCGATTAAATGCCTCTTGCAAGACCTGTGGGAATAAGACATTTCTTCAGTAGATTGCCAGGACCTAAATCTGTTGAGGCTGTTTTATCTCACAACAAAGATTCTCCTTCCATATATTGTTCTAAAGCCACAATGCTAAATTTGTATACCAAAAGACTGTTTGAAATAACAAAGTATGCATTTTTGACGAACTGTGGAAAGCTTAGTTTTCTTCCCCCTCATTTTGTGTACTCATGGTATTCATTCCATTCAGGTGTATTTTTAATTAGAAGGAAAAGATAGCCAATTGCTGTAGAACAGTAGGTTTAATTGTGCCAACCACAGTAACAATTATTTTATAGATTGATATTAAATATTCCTTAGCACCACCGTTATTGCTTCTCCTAGTTGGCACATTAGAAGCTCATTTATGTAAGAGTCCTCACTCATTCATTTTTGCAGCAAGCCATTTCTTTATTGTTTGGGCAGATTAAACAGCATCCACAAAACCCTCATAAGGGCTTGCGTAACTGTAGAGAATTGACAGCAACAGCAATCCTGGGACTACCTGTCACATACATGGCTAACAAGCTGGAAGACAAAACATCATTTCCAGAGAGCTTCTGTAAATAGTAAAAGTGCAAATACTTTAACAGAAAAAGAAATTCATCCGCATTTGCTTCTGTAAAGCACAAACTAAACATTGGCCCCCAGCCATGGTCTACCTCTATTCCATTCTCTCTTCTCAGCTCTTCGGCATTAAGCGCTGAACAATTGACAGTGTAGAAAGCCAGCTCAGTTGCAGCAGGCAACAGAGGAGACTCCTTGGAGAATAAGAGGTCATCTGAAGTTTCTAGTGTGATTGTCTTGATCAGCATAGGGTAACCGGCATATTTGTAGGGCTTCAACTCTGGAGGAAGAAAATGCCAGAAATCAATATCCACACTTGAGTCCACCTTCCAGCAAACTCCTAAAGATTCTAAGTCTGAACGACACAGTTTATATTATCTCACGGCTCTTTTGCCAGTCCAGAGGACAAAAACAGAAATTCTCTTGATCTCACCAGAACAAGCTAAAAATACCGATAACAAGCTCAGAAACAGAGTTAATGAGATAAATTACAACATTATTATTGGCCTATCAACAAGCAAACAAAAAAGGAAGCTGCCACAAGGCAGTGGCTGCTCAGCAAAGATCTGGCCCACGTGCACACAGTGATTCAGATACATTCTTTTCCCACCATTCAGGGACTCTTCACACTGTTTGAGGCAATACTGAAGCTCCCTGAGGTTCTGGAACCATTTTTCAAGGAGCAACTTTTCGTTTGGAAAAGAGGGCTCTGAACTACATTGGATCCTGCCACTTGAACTTTGTTTTCTGCAAATTCTGGGCTTTCTATCAACAAAATTTTCCTCTTTAGTCTGATGTCTGAACTTTTACTGCTAAAGACATTCTTCAATACCTGGCACGCACAGCTGAACAAGCATTTAACACGTCTGAAGAATGCTGCTTTCAGTTGAGATGTAAAACTGAACGATAATGCACCCAACTATATCCACGTTTTTTGCCACGGAAGACAAGATATAGCTCTAACAGTTGTTTGCAATTTTGTATGCCTGCTGCTTCTTGCAGTGATTCAAATCTAGAGCTCTGGCTGTCGTTTTCCATTACTTGGGGGTAGAGGGCAACGTTTATCATATTTTACAGCACTGCGAATTTTTAAATTCAGTATACAGGTGTCAATTTTCAATACACTCAATACCTAATGGAAATGTATATACTCAGAAGTCATAACATAATTACCTTCTTTGTGTCTGTTGAAGAGGATGCTTTGGGCTTTCAGAATCAAAATAATATTTTCAGGATCTGGACCATCCACTACTTTGGCTGACTTTGTACACAAAAACTCATAAGCTTTATTCACTTTTTCAAACATATCCTGCAGACGAAGTGCATTACGGAGAAGGATATATGAATCTAATCTCAAACTAGATTTGCTAATGCTGCAAAAGAAACAAGTTTTAAAGAGAGGTGCTCTTCTTCTATACAACCTTTAGATAAACACTTCTGTTTTGGAGGTCACTTCGACGTTCTGCTAATATATGCATCAGACTGCTGTGGAAAGTCAGCAGGCACATATTTTCAATAGTGTACAAACATTGTAAGGCTACTATTTCATGATTTTAAATACTTAGAA